GTCTTGGATTTTAGCAAGTTTAAATTGGTATTATTCTCAAATAGATATGAGAATATGGAATATTGCAGGTGAAACTATGAATATTTCAAAATCAGCACATGCAGATATTAATCATGAAGGAAAAGAATTAAACTTATTAAATGCAATTAAAAAGTAAATCTATATTTATTTTATTTATAAATTTATTAATAATTTATCAATAATAATACTAATTTTATTTAATATTTTAATAGTTTAGAGCACAAAAATTTGATAACATAAAATTTACAACTTATGCAATTCAAGATAAATATGGTGTACCAAAAACTGAAAAAAATAATAGATCTATAGCTAAAGCAACACAATCAATAAAGTGATATAATAAATAAATTAAAATTATATATAAATTTTATTTATTTATTAAAAAATTTTATTTTAAATTTTAACAGATAAAAAACTCTTTCCTGTATCTCTGAGTTTTACATAAAAAATAAAAAACAACAAAATGACAAATGAAATATTCAAGTAAATAAGTAATTAAATAACTATTATAATACATTGAACGAGCCTCTCTACAAACTACAACTTAAACAAGATTAAGAGAACATATAACAGAGTTTCTGCTATACAAATACTCTTCAAAGACTTGTTGCTGACTAGTTTGACAACAAAACAAAAGAATACAAAACTATTCTGTTATAGCAAAATAACAAGTAATATATCAAACATGTCACAAAGAAATACACAAAATAGCAAAAAATGAAAAAAGAACTCTACTACTTCTACTACTAGCAATAGCAGTCTTCAAAATGAAATACAAACTGAAGATGATATATTAATGCAACAAAGTGGTGATGCTTCCCTCTCTGAAAATTTGAGCAATTCTGTATCACCTGAGAATCATAACACAACAAACACAAATCAGAATCAACTGCAACAAATATCAATCAAAAAAGGAAAAGAGATCTGTACTAATTTTTTCACACTAGATACTGAAACAACAAACTTAACCAACAGGGAGCAGGTAACCCAAACAACTAAGACAAAGAATGAATCTGCTCTGGTGGAGCAAAATGATCATATGTCAGAAGCAGATTCAGATAATACAATAGAAGATAGTAAAAGCATACATCTTCTTTATAGCTACATTACATCATGAGGTCTACACAAACAAACAACTACTCAAAATAGAACTGATTACAGAAGCATCTGAGCTCAGCAGTTCAAAGAAAGTCTATATGATATCAGAAAAAAGAAACTCAATAGGTATGATGTACAAATTTGAAATTTAGACAGAATTATCAGTTCCTTCACAACAACAGAGACTATAGAAGAGTTAATTAGATACAAACTAGATATATTTCCAACTTCATTCAATATTCTATATGCTATTAAAAAGAAATTTGAATACTATAATACAGCTTTCTTTTACTCATTTACAAGAGTAGTAGCTTCTTGTCTAGCACACTAGCTTGAGTTTGAATCTTTAATGCACAATACTCTAGAGTCATACAAAAAATTACATAGTATCTGTATTACAAACAAGAAAAACAGAGATCAGATATTTATGAAATTATATACAAAACTATCATTAGACACTTTCCTAAACTTGGATATAGAAAAACTAGATACATATGAGATAACTTGACATATTTTCTACTTAATTAACTTTGCAAAAATACAAACTGAGTTAAAATTTGAAGATATATTAAATATAGTCAAGGCTGAGAAAGACCAGTTCTTATACTATTATTTAACATTCCAAATCTTATAAATAACGATATTAGAGAAGCAATTTCCTTTACACTCTTAAACAAAGATAAATAACAAGTAGGGGTAATGGCAAAGGATTGAGACTTGCCTATACATTCACGTGAATTCCAGAATCATATTTTGATAACAAGAGGCTACTACTTCCAGAGTCACCATCATTACTTACTGAATCTTTAAGAGATCTATTTCTAATTACCACCTTTGCAGAATTAAAATCAATTGCAAAATACAAAGAAAGACTACAGTCAATATATATCGTATATTGTCTCCCAGATACATACTTTGAGTTATTAGCTCCAAAACTACAACTTCTTTGTATACCACAGGAGCTCACACCTTGCCTCAGAGAAATATTCTCTTTTCTTCTAAAAAATTCAGAAGATTTTAAAGAACATGTATATTTTCTAAAGAAAAGTTACACTTTCACAAGATTACTGAATGATTATATTATATAGACATTGTCTACCAAATGATCCAAACAAACTATATCTTGAAAACAAATATGTTTTTCTAATTGAAGATAAAGCTACTGCACGTGCATTTATAGATAAGATACTACTAATATACCAAGTACCTACACTATTCCTAGATAGCTATATAACAGTAAATCCAACAGATCTACTAGAGCTTCCTGAAGAGTATACACAGGTAGACAAAGTTAACTTAACAATTCTATTCACTACAGCTAAACAACTCAGTATCACAGTTAAGGACCTTAGAAAATACTATTATTTCAAAAGG